TATTAGGATACATATAATAGACAATTTAAAAAGAAGGGAACCAATGTGGAACAACCTTTCTGGATTCCTATATTAGCTGGTGGCACAGCACGAATCTGGGCTGCAACACTGGTGAGTCCATTGGAGTTGATAAGAACAAAAATGCAATCACAGAAACTAAGTTATGCAGGTAGGATAAGTTCATGTAATATCAAATTGATATAAAGAAGCTTAAAATAAGATTTGGCAATTTCATATATGCTTTATGTGTTTCAGAAATAACACAAACATTAAAAATAGTTGTGAGATATAGTGGCATTTCTGGCTTGTGGATGGGATTAAGTTCAACTCTTCTTCGTGACGTTCCTTTTAGTGCTATATACTGGTTAAATTATGAAACTATAAAGAGACTGTATAGCTCACAACAAACTTTTACTTTTAATCTGGTAGCTGGAGCTGTAGCTGGATCTGTATGTATTTCAAAAACACAATTACAATATTTTATATATTCCAAAAAGATATAAGCTAAGATGTAAACATTATTGTAGATAGCAGCATTTTTCACTATTCCCTTTGATGTAGTAAAAACACATAGACAAATCGAAATGGGCGAAAAAGAAATTTATTCAGGTAAATATTTTATATACAATTGCAGCCAATATTTTATATATAGATTTTTCAGATACATCCGACAGTTAAAAAACAAAGTTGAAAGGTGAATATTCATTTGTTTTATACTGGCTACAAATTAAAAAAGATTTTTTTAATAAAAAAAATCAAAGTAATCTTGAATTTTTTTAAATAGCACCATACAATTTTTTTCCATAATATTAAGGATCTTCAAGATGAATTCAAATCACTGGAAATGTTATTTTTATTGATGTACTGATTTTACTGATTTTATTGCATATTTTATTAAATCAATACATGTATGTATGTGTTTATATTCCGTGTTTTAGAGGTTGTAAGTACTGCTGTTATAAATAATGCTGCAGATTTGATATTAAGTCTCAATAAAATTAATAAAAATAAAAGTGACATTTGAGTAATGATTTGAATTCATCTATTTAAAAAATTTAAGATGCTTTGATTTTTTTATAAAAAAAAATTTTCTTCAAATTTTCTTTAAATAAATCACGTTTTCCACTATTGCAGCCTATATAAAACAGATTCACCTTTCAACTTTTTTTTTAACTATCGAAAATGTGAAAAATCGTGCGAATCAGTACGCTAAATACCCTGTATAAAATTTATTAATGTGGATTTTTAGATAAACCTATTCGTAGCAGTACTACATGGACTATAATACAAAGAATCTATTATCAGAATGGATTAAAAGGTTTATTCACTGGACTAATACCGCGTTTAGTAAAAGTAGCCCCAGCTTGTGCAATTATGATTGCGACTTTCGAACATGGCAAACGTTTCTTTCAATCGTATAATGCTAAAAAAGCTATCGAATTTGAAATTGAACGTGATGTACATTTATTGCAACACAAATCTAATAATACAAAATGATATTGAAGACAAATAATATGCTAAATAAAAAACTAATAATAAAGTTACTAATTAAGGCTCATGCTTGATCATTATGTATTGAATTGTAATGTCAGAAAAAGATATATAAATAAAATTTTTATTTATATATTAAATAAACATTAAGATGTAAATATTTTTCAATCAAATAATATTTCTATAATAGTTGATAAAATACATGTGTAAAATATACTCAACTTCTCCTTTTAGTTTAAAATAAAATAAAATATTTATTTTAATTTGACAGCTATAATGTTGTGTCTTTTGAAGAAGGTACAATTTAATTCCAAATATATGGTTTTTTATTGATTACCGAAGTACAACGGTGTTGAATATTTTTTGGTGTTTATATTTTACAAATTTATTTTATCAATTAAAAATTATGTTTTATTGAAAAATATATTTTAATATATTTTGCAAAAATTTTCTTCATGCATTTTTTCGATATTGGTATCAAATCTATGTCGCTCGTTTATACATTATTGATATATATATATATTGCGGAGATCTCATAATCGAGAGCAACCGAAGTGAGTTGCATCGAAAATCTCTATTTTTCTTCCTTATTACATATCGTCACCATTTGGATACTCTCGAGGGGTATCTTGTTGAGGCTCATTACGACTCTTTGATCTAGCGAGGACTCCACACATCTTATTACCAAACTCGTTTTTTTCACCCGTAGAAACGTAACTGACTGATGATTGATTTTTTTTATTTTAAAACTAGAGAGAAGACCATTTACTACCACGGGACTACGTGATACACATTTATATATTATACATAATACAACTAAATTGAAGATATAATGCCAAATAACTGAAATATGTAATTTATTTATAAAACGAATAAATCCCAACTTCTTCTCACAACACTCATTTTCTTCTTTTAACATTTACATGTGTATATTATATTCAACATATATATAAAAAATTACACGAATATATAATTTATTATTCTATATATAGACGAATTAAATCATCTTCTTTGGCAGGATAATATGTTACTGGACATTTCTTTTTTATCCGTATTTCTGACAAAATACATTGATAGCAAAATATGTAACTAAAAAAATGACGTAAAATTAATTTTGTATTTTATTTAAAAATAAAATAGGAAAAACAACTTTTATTGAGTGCTAAAATTATTTATTTACCCAGATACCATAAGCACGGTATGTATATGATGAGGCTTATAACAGAGTGGACAAATTCCTTTATATTGCTGCGCTATATTTGGTACCTGTTAAAACAAAAGATTGTATTTCGTTTTTGTTAGTAATTTAAATTATATCGATATTATATAATTGAATTATTATGCTAATTCATTGTATTTATTTTTACCTTTGGTGGTGGTGGAGCTGGAAGACTCATAATATCTATGTCATAATTTTCCTGATTCCACCAAGAAAGAAATTGTAAGAAGAAAGCTCCGAATTCAAGAGAGCCAGTAATGATTCTTTGAAGTATATTCCATCCATCAGAGACAGTGAATGAATTATATTTTATCTTCCTTAATAACTCTGTGACAGTGAGAGCAGATTGCGGATCGGCGTATGTCAGTGTAACGGATAGTAGTCTTAACAAGAGTGATGGGTATATTGATTTCTCAGATACGTAAAGTATATAATTATATAACACAAGAGTTTCATATGTTACAAAAAGAATTGAAAGTCCTTTAACGACACATTTATTGAAAATCTTTTGCCTCCCCTGTATCAAGAAATATTTAATATGTTAAGAAATTATTGTACAACACACAAAACATGTCTGAAAAATTAATAGAAAAAATTCTAAAAAATCAACAAATTCAGATATTAACTTTTATTCGTATCAGGCTTTTATATAATTTCATATTTTCTTGATATACATAATAAAATAGCAGTACATACAATGACTGAAAACTATTATAATACGCCTCTTATAAAATGATATTTAACAAACATTTCTATTGTCTTATATCGCTAGTACATCATAAAAAAAAAACTTTCCTTTTAAGCGCAATTTTATTTTAAAGAAGATAATAAGTCTGTCAGAGTCAAGTCAGATGGATATGGAAAGTGGGTAGATTACTGTGATACTTTGTCGTTGATTAAAAATTACAAGACAACCTTGGCTGTGTGCACAAATATTGTCGCGCAGAAGACATCAATCCAGAAATGCTTAAATCGTGCCTAATGCGTCCCAATCCAAAAGCGATTTAAAAACTTCTAAATAAAATACTAAATTCACAATTTGACCTAAAAGAACAATTCCATGACAACACACCTGCATGCATAGCCAGGATTTGGCCAAAAAAACAGATCATAGTAATTCCTATATTCACCTAATCTCGACAGACTTTTTTTATTCTGTAAGCCAATATTGATTGAATATTTCTTTTTTACTTTTCTATAATTTAATATAAAATTATTAGGTGTTGGAATTAATTCGTAGCGTTTTACAAGTGATGGGAAATACTTTCATTAATGTATTTTTTAATGCTCATGTGAAATAAATAACATTCTTTCATTAAAAACGCTACGAATTAATTCCAACACCTAATATATTTAAAAAAAGAAATTCTTGATAACATAACAATGATCCGAGATACGATTAAAACGCATAGGCTAAAGGTAATCTCGGAAGAAGAGTATTATAATAGCTTCCAATCATTGTACTATCGTTTTATTGCATAAATCGAGAAGAGAGGAGATTATATAGATTCCTTGAAATGAAGTACTGCTATCTGAATTTATTGATTTTTATAGAATTTTTCTCTTTTTGAACATACTGTGTGCATTTAAAAATGATGGTTATTTTTTTTACTCGCCTTTCTTGATGTACTGTCTATGTTTTGCAGTTTATACTTTGAACTAAGTTGCACAAGTTTATTCTTTAAATATGGAAATGTCACTATTATTATTAATGATAATATTTGTTGTTTATGTGATAATTTTTTTTGTAACCCTGTCTTGGAATTGATTATTGTGACACGTTTCAAACCATAAAATGTTTCAGAAAATGATGCAACTAAAAATGATACATTTTTTTTTCAAGAAATTATATGAAGATACTAAGATACATCATATATTAGAATATAGAAAGATACTTACAATATCTCTTTAGGTAATATCGTTGAAGACATACATTAAAAATTAAATACCCTTCATCTGTCCATTGAAGAATATGTCCATATTTCTCAAGATTGAAAGATACAAGAAACTAAAATTATTAAGATTAAAGGCTTACATTTTAGAATATTAAATATAATATAATATAATTATCATACATATGTAAAATAAACAACAATTTTTTAAATGTAATGTAATATTAATTAATTAATTGATTGTTTGAGTGATTGCTATTTTATAAACAATTATGAAATATATTTTCTAAAAAATTTTTAGAGCAATTATCCAGAAGATGTTCCTCACCTTTAATTTCAATGAAATTATGTTCATTCGACATGTTTTTGCATGAAACGAAAGAATCGATCTGGCATTAAAATGTTGTGCTCAGTCCCTCGAAGCGATTAATCAGTTAAAGTTTTTTTAAATCGTTTAACTATTGTTATGTTAGGAAATCTATCACATTGATGGCATAGAGGGTTACATAAATTCTTTGTTTTATAAATATAAATTTTCTGCTTTGAAAACAAAATTTTCTGTTTTAAAAATACAAGTTTTCTGCTTTAAAAACATAATAAAATATATAATTTGTTATATAATATCATTTTTGTTTTTATAATAGAAAAGAATTTGTTTTTTAAGCAGAGAATTTGTATTTATAAAACAGAATTTGTGTAACCCTCTACGCCATCGAGATGTGATAAATTTCCTAACCTAACTCAATAATAATTAACTCAATAATAATTAATATTTCACTTCACTGGACTGAGCATAATTTACTGTTAGATACTGTCGTTTCATACAAAAACATGTATCGAATGAGCACAATTTCATTGAAATTAAAGGTGAGCATCTTCTAGATAAATATCGTATTGTTAATATATAATACATTTGATATGATAAAAATATCTAAAAATTATTTTGATAAATATATTTTAAGAAAAATTATGCAAAAATTATGCAATCAATTAATATTTTAAAGTATTATAACATGGCATTAATATATTAAAATATTAAATGACAGTGTACCGAAAGAATTTTTTTAAAAGCCGGTTCAAGAGTCGATGCAAGCGATTCCTGTGCAATAATCTCAAAGATAGAAGGCCTGATATATGCAGTCCCAGTCAAATGAGCACCTTTTTCTGCCATAATCTGTTTGCATAGAAATATACCATGGTAATTATTTAGAATACGGGTCCCATCTAGAATCTTAATAAAAATATACTCACTCGATGTATTTTCACTCAAAATGAAAGAATCTGAAAAAAAGAAAACGCGGTGGTAGGCCTCATAAATTGAGTTATCAAGCGTTAAAGTACGAGACTTTAAAGGTTAAGATATCTGTCATCCCGACTCGATACTACTTAATGTATACGTTCCATACATTCTACTTTAATTACACAAATTCACTACTTTAAAAACACAAATTTACTGCCTATATCATCAATATATCTAGCTTTAATTTGCATCAATGGCCTAGTTTCCACCGAGGGTTTAATCCAAATCAGAATGTAAGAACTAATCAACTACAGTCAAGTATTCCTCTGTTACAATCGATTGACAGGGAAATGTTGACAGTGACTGTAGTCGGTTGGTTCTCACATTCTGATCCGGATTAAACCCTCGGTGGAAACTAGGCTAATGTTTATAAAAGATTAATTGTATTCTCTTTCTGCCACATCAAAACACATTGCTCATTATAAATCTCACTGCTATATACGGGCGAACTATTTTCGTGGTTTTAATATAAAACTATTTATGATGCTTATTATGCTTTTGTATGTCAGATAATAGCGAACAAAGTTCGTAATAATGCTGCAGCACAGACTTGCATAAGCCGGATCTATAATAAACTTTTAAGCTATAAGAATGGACAAATCACAAACAATTATTCTCCTCGCATTCGACTGCAATTAATCAATTTTTTACGGCTTATACGCTTACTGCATACTGGATTGGTGTAGCTATGATATGTGATAAGTTATGTCCAATGAGAGCTTTGCTTTGCATAGTCACATGAGAAAAAGTAGAGATTTTATTGGATATCGCTCGTCACTTATCGCCCACCGCGTCCAGTGTGCAGTAGGCATTAAAGTTTAAGGCCTACTAATATTATTGGGAGTACAAATTAGTTCGGTTCGTTTTTTTGTATTTCAAAACAAAATGAATGAACAGATTAATTAAAGTATTGTCGATCGCTGGCTACTACTTTTTCTCTCAGGCAATTTTCGAATTCCATCTCGAAAAAATGACTCGTCTTTGGAGGCGATCCAATTTTGGAGAAATGAACCGGTGACTTGCCAAATCGTGCTGCATCCTTCGGAACAACCAATAATCAGAAGGAGCAATGTCCAGAGAATATGGCGGGTGCGTAAAACATCTCATTTGAGCGTTTCCAAATATTTTTTACGACTTTTGCGACATGAGGCCGAGCGTTGTCATGAAGAAAAATAACTTTATCATGTCTTTGCTCGTATTCCGGCCGTTTTTCTCGCTCAAACGAATCAATTGTAGCCGATACCGATCGCCCGTAATGGAATCGTCAGGTTTCAGCAGC